GTGGAGAAATGGGATTTTAGGGGAGAGAATGGGAAGAGGAAGGCCATGAGGGGAACGTATGGAGGGTGATAGCCGCATGGATAGAGATCCAGGGTCCAAGGTTAAATAGAGTGTCTCTAGTTTGACTCTGTGACGAATGAATCAGCGCAGGTTCACCAGTGACGATGGTCTGATCAGGATGAATCAGTGATGATAACAGAATAAAGAGCCCAAATGTAATCGCTGGCGGCAGTACGGCTCCCCTCCTCCTTCCCCGCTAAACAGTGCAAACCTTGTCCGAGCATGACGGTGCGGTCAGCATTGCGTCCTCGCTGCCTGCGACGACGACGACGACCAACGGCGGCGGCAGCTTGCCAGCTCAGGTGATCCCAGTTTGAACCATTCCCACCGGCCGAGTCGTCGCCCAGGTCCATCTTTGGCTTATCGCACAAAACAAGATAACCGTTGACGGATTCGTTGCAAGAACAGGTACCCATTGTGCCTTTCATCTTATTTTTTCGAATTTATCTTAAAGCCAAACCCAGCTTGCGATTGCTAACACGCGCTTAACGGGCGCGCGTCGCGGGCAAAAGGCAGAAAACCCAATATCGAAACGAGAACCGAAAAAGGGAACAGTGTACAACTCCTGAATGAGTACTCCATCAAAAGAGTCCGATACCAAAGACGTCGTCAACGATGAAGGTCACCTAAAGGACGATAATCAGCATTCCGTCGACGTCGTCCAAAACGATCACGACATGGCGTCGCCACAGTCTAGAGGGGACTCGAAATCATCTCATCCAAAGACACCTACCGAGCAAGATACATCCCCCACGCTCCCCAAGCAGTCTTCGGATGATGCAGACACCAATTCCACCTTGTCCGGAGTCCCCTCCCCCTCTGTCACTCATAGGCCTTCCTCGAGCAAGACTTCGCTCGACGACCGACCTCCCTCGCCGTCGAATACTTCTGAAAAGCAAACCGAGACGTCATCGGACGTGCACAAGGGCCAGGATCCAAAGCCGGATCTAGACGCCTCCACCGCAGAACGGCCTATGGCCAAGGAGGATACTCCAGACCGCAAAGAAATGGATTCTGAATCATCGGAACCTCTTTCGTTGAGCAAAAAGGTGGCCACGGTTTTAGAGCTCAATTCTGAACTTTTACGGTATGTCCCCTCTGTCCACGGCCCATGTACCCTATAGGATCGCTAATTTTAAAATTCATTTCTAACTCCTCCCTACCAGAGTGTATAATGATTTCCACTCCCAAAACCAAATTCACGCATTCCCCGCCGAACTCCGGGAGTGAGTAGTCTTACAGATACACGGAAACAAATCCTGATTATCTTGTAGATATTCTCAGAGGATACATTCAAATGTGACTTGGCTGATGCAATGTAATGAGGCACTTGGACAGCAGGTTCGTTTTCCTACGCTCGAAATCCTGGGTCCATTATCGCTTATTAAAATACCCTGTAGTTACCGATGCAGGCCCGGGTTTCGACACCCATCACGGCTCCTCCCCCTCCCATTCCTTTCTCCTCCACAGAGCGGATCAATGCTATCTATACCAAAATGCCCTCTTTTTTCGAAAAAGAGATTGCGAGGGAGCAAAGAAAACGGCAGATACGACAGATGATTGCTTCGGGAATGTCCAACATGGCTCAAGCCGCCACCAACCCGACGATGAACGGTATGGCCATCAACATCAATGGCAAGCGAGAACGTCCTGAGGACATGACCAACGACTCACAGAGTGGCGACTCGGACGGCAATAGCCCTCGAAAACGGGTCGACACTGGCGAGTCCAAGGCCAACTCTGTATCATCTATACACAACACACCATCTCCGGCCAATCTGCACGCATCTCCTACTCGTAGTACGGCATCACCGTCGACCATTCACGCTCCTGGTGCACATCCAGCTGTATCGACTCCTGCTACGTCCGTGCCGCCCATTCACCGACCAAGCTCTGCTCAATCGAATTCGTCACAAACCGCTGTTCAGATGCCACCGTCTGCTGGGACATCATTTTCTGACCCTGGAACACCAAGTGTAACTGTCAATGGTGTTCCGATGAGCATGAGTGGAATGACGCCTCAGCAAATCGAACGTATGCGACTCATGCAACATAACCGTGTTCGAACACTGAGTGGTGGAAATGCTACGCCACATATGATGCCCCCATCGAAGGTCGCCCCGCCCAACCTTTCCATGAAGCCTCCACAAACCCCGCAACAATATCCTGGTGGCCATCAACCCCAACAACCCGCATTCCCCAACACACGTGCTCCTCCTGCCGCTATATTCCCTCAACTCATCAACATGATCCAAAATCCGCAGGCTCACCAGAGCGTACAAGCCCTGCATGCCAAGATCCCTGGTTTTAAAAACATGCCTCTTGAGCAACAAGCGAGCGTCCTATGGTCTTTCCAGCAGAACCAGGTCAGACATCAGCAGCAGCAGCGCTCCTTGGAATCTGCCGCTCAAGCGCAGGCTGCCAACATTAATACATTGGCTCCCCGGCCCGCTGGCGCCGCTCCTGGTCCAGGAATGTCGACAATGCCCGATCCAGCACATGGATTTCCGCCTGGTTCTGTCACTCCTGGCATGATGGGTGGTATGGCTCCAGGTGCAGGAATGCGACCTCCTAATCCTGCGGGTGTCATGCAGCCTCCTCCTACACCTCAGACCCTACTACAGCTACAGCAGCTACAACAGCAGCGGCAACTCAATCTTTTGCAGCAACAACAGCAACATGCTGCAATGGGACGAGCTGGCGGAGGATTTCCACCTGGTGCAGGTCTATCAAATCCGGGTATGATGGGGATGGGGGGTATGGGTGCAGCGGGTCATTCAATGGCCATGAACCCTGGTCTGAATATGGGTATGGGTGTCGG